AGATAGATAGATAGATAGATAGATAGATAATAGATAGATAGACCTCGGTAGCAAAAACAAACAAAAAGTGTAGCTGCTGAGGCTGATGTACAACCAAACATCTCATGGTACTTGGTTCCTTATTTGTTGTTCTTGTTAGATGTCATTGAATCAAGATCAACTCATAGTAACCGCATGTACAAGAGAATGAAATTAGGCCCAGTCACTGCTTCAAACCACCTCATTGAGCATCTTCCTCCCCTTCACTGAACTTCTCCTCTTCCAGGTATGATATCCTTTTCCAAGAACTGTCTCCTGACAATATACCCAAAGTATGCAAGACACACTCTCACCACGCTTGCCTTTAATGAGCACTCTGGCTGCACTTTCTCCAAGACATATTCCATACTCTTCGCCAACACAATTCAAAGACATAGATTCTTCTTTGGCCTTCCTTATTAATTGGCCCACTTTCACACGCATATGAAGCAATTTAAAATAACACAGCTTAGGCCAGGGCTACTTTAAAGGGCCATTCTTCTGGTCACTTGCACAGGACATCCTAGTCAACTGGAATGGTAATCTGTTAAAGCTTCTGTTGTATCTTGAAGTTCATGATGTGGTACCTTGGATCTTAAAAGCTTGCAAGTAGCCGTTCAAGACACAACAATTGGTCTCTATTCAGCTGGACCAATTAAGGAAGAAGGAGAGTCAGGAGTAAGAGGAAAATATGGAATGTGTAGTTAATTTACCTCTATGAAATAATTGCATCTTTTGTCATGTGACCTGAAGAGCTAGATAGTGCCTGGATACTCTTACTGCACATTTTGATCAAATATTTTCTAGTAGAATCCTGACAAAATGCAGAACAGAAATTCAAATTGTACACACTGCAAACATTGTGAAGCAATGAAGCTTGAATGAATCCATGAAACTTGTTTTGAGACCATCTTTAAACCAAAAATATCCCTGAAGTTCTCTTTAAAATCTATTAATAGTTTGGCTTTACTAGAGCTCCCTCTAGTAAGAAAATGTCAGCCTTGAGGATTACACTCTTTTAAGAACTATGACAATGACAATTCAAAAGACTAGATAGGACACTAGGAAGCTCTGGTGGCCTAGCAAATAAGTGTTAACGTGTGTAGTTCTAATCCACCAGCTCCTCCATGGGAGGAGGCCACTTATGGCCTCTGAAAACCCACCAGAGGGTCAGCTCTGAGTAGATTCCAACTCAGCAGCACATAACAAGATAAGAAGCTTAGGGGAGAATGAGATATGTTATTGGAGGAAGAAGAACTCAGAAAAGGAGAGAAAGAATGGCTGTCAAAGAGTCCAGTCAAAGTCACTAAATTGTACACATAGCAACTGTGGAATTTGGTGCATGGGTTTTGTATGCTTTCAACAACAAACATTTAGAAAAATGAGTGCCAATGGATAAAGAGCCTCTTACATTACTCAGAATAGTAGAAAACCAGTCTGCAAGGTACAGACTTATCTGACAGCTGACCCTTTGGGCAAATGCTTTGATTTTGATCATTGGTTTGGAAATAACTTTATCCTCTCAGATTAAAGGTTTTCACAGAGATGATCCAAGCAGAGGCCCAAAACCCTAAGAGGAAAATGTACATAAAGGGCCCTTCAAGAGAGCTTTTCATTCCGTTAAGTGGCAAATTGGAAGGGGAGCGAAGTTCTCCCACGTGGCTTCCTTGTTTACCGGGCCAGCCTAACGCTGTGATAGAAATGAAACAACAGCTTGATGCCTAACACAGCTCACCCTCAGGCACTGATTCAGCTCTTTGTTTCCCATGAGCTCTGCTTCAAATAAACAGATCAGAGAACTTTATTAATTATGCACTCTGGGGCATACGCTCTGATCGGCACCTGGCTCCATACGTGGCCCCAGCAGCCAGACTCTGCCTTGCTTGTGACAGAAAAGTCACCTCTAAATTCCTTCCTTTACTGATGCCCTCCTGACACCCACCCTGTCATATTTATTGGCTGCATAGGGTGTGGTAAGCGAAATGAAGATTAAAAAGTAAAAAAAAAATCAGCTCCAGTTGTAGTAGTTTCAAAAGATGCACTGAGATGCTCAATACATTGTTTGGGTATTGTTTTGAAAACAGCATAAATGACCAAAGAAATGGTTCAATAAAAGCTCTTGTTCTTTCTTCTGATGGTGAAAATTCTGTCTTAACAGCATAGAAATTGTACAATAAGACATTAGGAGCATCTCAAGATCAAAGTGTATGGGCAGAGGGTCATCCTGCACACCCAGGAAGGCCTTGTGCAGTGAGAACCCCCTGCCCATCAACAGGCAATCATTTCTAGAAATTCAGAGGAGGATTGAGATTTGTTCTTTGACATACCAATGAGTTTCCTTGGATGTGAGTTATCCTAAGAGGCCTAGCTACCCGGAGAAAAGGAAGATAGAATAAGGAATTACACGTGGTGGTTCAGAAACAGAACCATCACCTTCCCCATGGGAAACTGGAGTTAGAATCTCAGCCAACACCACTTGTGCATAACCAGCTGTCTGTCAGTGGAAGTCTGCACGTTGTCACAACACTGACCAGAGAGCTCTGATGATCTACTCTATGGGGAGTCCCACAGTTAACTCAAAGGCCATGCCTCTCCAGCAATTCAAATCCACCAGTGACTCTACAGAAGAAAGACGGGCAATCTCCTCTTGAGCAATTTACAGCCTCAAAAACCTACTGGCAATGCTGAGTCAGTTCTGACTTATTAGCAAGGAGCTTGAGTTCATTTTTGTTTTGGTTTCTTTGAGGTTTCTTTCTTTTTAACAATTTCAGCCAAGCACTTCCAGATTAAGACAGATTAGAAGAAAAGACCTGGTGATGGACTTCTGAAAAGCATCCATTGAGATTCTACTAGATCACAGCGATCTAAGCTGTAAGTGATTGTAGACGTGGTGCAGGGCCAGACAGTATTTTATCCATCTGTGCATGCAGTCTGCATGAGGCAGGGCCCAACTCGACAGCAGCTAACCACGCTGCTGTCATCACTGGTCAGGCAGGGCGACAAACACTTACCAGGTCATCCTTGATTTAATCCTCACAACAGCTCCCGGAGAGAGGTAGCTTGCTCCCTAATGCAAAGACAAGCTCTGGCTCAGCAAAGTAACTGGTCCAAGATTCAACCCACAACAAGAACTCAGGATTTCAATCCAGTTTACCCTGGCTCTAGACTTATCAAGAGCAAATAATGCTAAGAAGGAGTTTTAAATGGGTGGTTGCTACTATTAGGGATCTCTGGTGGTCTAGCAGGTAAAGGGTTGCACTGTCAAACCAAAAAGCAGACAGTTCAAATCCATGAACTGTTCTAAAGGAGAAAGATGAGCAGTCTCCTTCCATGAGATTTACAACTTCTGAAAATCTGCAGGAAAGTTAGTTATGAATCAGCTCTGACTTGGAGGAACTTAGCCACACACAGGTAAGAGCATCATGCTCAGATCAGAGACAGAGCTGCATTTGAAAAGCACATTTCCCCCCTGTGTTCTACTGCTAATGATTTAATAGCTTTGCATTGCCTGTTTTAGCTAGTTTTCCTATGTGACGTTAATAACGGGCCTCTTTTCAGAGAATTTTGACCTCTTTGAGTCCCCATGGTCTGTAGGGACCAGGCTTCGCCTTAATATGGCAGTGAGTCTTTCTATATTCGCCCTTTAGACCCGGGATGATAGCTGCCCTGCCACATCTCCAATGACAAGGAAAGAAATTGTGTCTTCTTCATTCACTGATCAAGAGACGTGCCCCATCACCAGAAGCAAGCTGTTGTTGAGTCACAGACAACAATGCATTGTTTCAATCACTTTCTTGTGTGTCTTTGGGGGTCTTTCTGACCATACCTGGCTGGGCCCACTCAGCTGGTTTGCCCTTACTAGACTCTGAAGGTTATTTCTCTGCCATGATCTGCAATTAGCGAGCCCTCGCTTCCCTTCCACAAATGTCTCTTCCAGCCTTTGGCAATTACGCCTCATTTCTCTAGGTTTCATACAGCAGGCAACTGAATAGACTTAAAAGCACAAGCACGTGCAAAAATAATCCGCTTCCCAATATAGTAAACGCTGAGAAGTTCTATATTGGAACTCTGTGAGCGCTAACTGGCTGGGGTGTGATTAACCTAATAGGCTTAAAGCTCCACTTACCATCACATCTGTCAGGACATGAGCAAGACACAGGCCTGTAATCCAGGTCGTTGCCCTTCCCTAACAGCACGGGGGCTCAAGATAACAGAATATGTGCAGGACGGCAGGACGCACCTCCTCTTCCCTGGAGGGCCAAGGAAGTCTGCTTTCAAGGTAAGCTGGTCTCAAGTTCGAGATATTGTGAAGTGGAATTCAAAGGACTCTGGTCTGGAAATTGCCTGGATGGACTCGTAAGACAGCCTTTTTGTTTCCCTTTCAAATACTGCTCTCTGAAAATTGCTAAGGTTGTGGGTGGAAGATGACTGTAAGCTGAAATCATGGGGTGCACACCTTCCCACAGTGACATTGTGAACAGCGTTGCAAAGAGTGGCATTCAGTTTTTTAAAAAGCCCAAGGCAATTTTGCCAGGGCGTCAGGTGGGCAATGGCAGAGGCTCTATCCCTTTACTGCTTCAAAGCTCCACCTACTATGATTCTGGTGGCGGCCAGTCCCAGGGACGGAGGCCGGCTGAGGAGCAGGCAGGTTCCGGGTGGAATCCAAGCACAACAGAAGGTCTTTGTCAGCTTATGGGAGAGCCAGCTTCAGGCAAAAGGAAGGACGTGGAAGGATTGATCCTAGAAGCCAGAACCTCCCCATCCCAAAAGACCAAATCACAGGGCCATATGTTTATGACACAGAACTCTCATGGGCCACAAGGCTCAACTTTTTCTGGGGAAGAAAATGAGAACAGTGAAGCCCAGGAGACCTCTGCATCCCACAGACTGGAGAAACAGGGAGATGGCAGCCAAACAGTCCTTCCTCCTCACGGGCCTGCAGACAAGGTGGACTTTCCCGAGCCCCTGGTGAAGGCCCACCATCACGCTTACACCTACCTGCACTCGAGCCTCTCCAAATACGAAGCAATCCTGTCTGTCATGCATCAGGCCACCCAGACACAGGAGCTGCTGCAGCCCATGGTCAGCTTCCTGCTGCTGTGCTTTGATGAGGCGAACCAGCTCTTGAGGGAGATGTCCAAGGAGGGAGACGCACTCCTCCAGGATGTGAGGGCAGATCTGGTTTGGCCGTTGAAGGGAGGAAAGCCCCGGGAGCAGCCAGACCTCCTGCAGCAGCTCTTGCAGTACACAGTCAGCAAGCTGCAGGCACTCCACAGTACGGTGGCCTTGCTCGCCTCCAGCCTCCTGGATGGCTCTGGCGGCTACTTCCGCTCCACCACAGGCCACTTGGAAAAGAAGCTGAGCATCACGAGGGATGTGGACGAGCATCTCTTGAGGGTCCTGGGGCAACTAGAGAGCTTGGTGAGTGGCCACAGGGACCCAGGAGTGCAAGGTCTCCCCTTGTGCTCGGAGGATAGCGGCATTGGTGTTGACAATGAGTCCATGCCGTCCCTGGACAAGCTGGGCAAGCAAGCCAGCTGGGACTGTGTGCTGGAGCCCATAGAACAGAAGTCAGAAATTTCAGTCCAAGGGGAAGCCAGTCCAGGGGGGCATGCCTGGCAGCAGAGTCCCTTCTGGATGGGCTCAGACAGACCCCAAGAGTGTCCACTTTCACGGCTTCCCACGGCAAAAATTCAGCCCACACCGAGTGGAGCATGGAGCCAATGTCCTTCCAGTACAGGCCCAGCCAGGGTTCCCTCCAGGCCTTTGGGGCCAGGTGAAAGCATCCCGTGTGATGCCCATGGATTTGGGGTCCCTGGAGAAGCACACATGTCTAAAGGCTCCAGGTTGGTCGTCTCTCCATCCCTCAGTGAAGATGAGGCCGGTAGCGAGGAGGAGGAGGATGAGAAGGAGGAGGAAGAAGATGAAGTTAGCAGCATGAGCCCATGTGTGTGGCAGAACACAGCTCTACTTTCAAGGCCTCAGTCTTCACCGGCTGGCCGGAAAAGTGCATTTCAACCTTATTCCAGGAGACTGAGGAGCCTCCAGGCTCAGGAAATGATCCTGAAGATGAAGGAAGCCATCAGTGAAAGGATCAAATTTGTTCCTATGCCTTCTGGGCCCCAGGACTGGACTGAGGAAGAGGACAGGAGGGTGACGGTCCCACCGAGACCCAGCACTGTCAGTGGCAGCAGGAGGCCTCTGGTGAGGCAGAGGAGGTCACAGTCAGAGCCAAGTCTTCAGAACCACATGGAAGACCCCACTCTCCAGGAGCTGCAGAGGGTCCAGAGGGACCTCACTCAGAGGCTGGAGGCGTTCTACACCCTGGGCCCCCAGCACCAGCAGCACAGCCGGGAGCAGATGCTGAAGTCCAGGCCAGCAGCTTTGTGGTCCAATGACTGCCGGCTGACGCCAAGCAATACTACCAACAAGCTGAAGGCGTCCCTCACCAAGAACTTCAGCATTTTGCCTAGCCAGGACAAAAGTATCTTGCAGAAGTGCAGTCCCCACCCTGAGGATGAGCAGGCCAGGCAGGGGACCATTACACAGCACCCCAACTCTGTCTTCTCAGATGAGAAGACAAGTGAGTCTCCCAGGGCTGAGGACTGCAATATGGGGGGCCGGCCCACCAGAACGTCAGTCAAGAAGTTGATTGAAACCTTCAGTCCAACTGACAGTGTGAGGACAGTGGGGGATCCCAAAGACTGTGAGTCAAGCCCTCGCCTCAGGAAGTGGGGTGTCCCTATCATCCCTCCCAGGTTCCCCATTTACAGGGGGCTTGCACCTTTGTACCCGAAGCCCCGCATTTCCCCAGCAGCAGGCTGGAGGCCTTTCGCACCTATCTTCCCTCCTCTGCTTCCAGCAGAGAACACCAAGGGTGAGGACAGCAGTGGTGAGTGGGAGGAAGACCCAGCTAGTTTCCCACCACCACCTCCAGAAATCCTGATGGACCAGTCATTTGCTTCTCTGGAGCCCCCAGGAAACGGTGAGCTGGCAGAGGACTCGGCTAAAGGGACCACCATGCCAGAGCTGGAAGGGGTTGGCACTGCCAGGAGAACATGGGCTTCCCCAAAGCTCAGAGCCTCCGTGAGCCCCATTGACCTGCTGCCCAGCAAGGCCACGGCCAGCCCCACCAGGTCTCGCAGCTCAGGGCCAAGGAGCAATCCCAGAAGGCTGCCCTTGGACTTGAGCCACGCAGCAGCCACCAGCCAACACGTAAAGGTCGAGGGTCGGCCTCAGAGTCAGGCACCAGCAGAGAAGGCCACCAGCCTCTGCAGGCCTTCCCGGAAGGCAGTGCCCTGGCAGCACTCCAGCCACACCTCTGGGCAAAACAGGACCTCGGAACCCAGCCCAGCCAAGCCACCAAGGGGGCTGCGTTCTCCTGAGGCCTCAAGGCAAGGCCAAGAGAGGAGGCCCCCGGTGGTAAGGAAAACTTCACCTACAAGGGTGCACTGGTCACCTCAAACTGAGAAGAGACTCCCGAACCTGTCCTCCTCCCACAGGCCTGCTGAACTAAACCTCCCCTCTGTGCATGGATCCCCCAGCCCACCACTCAGCACGAGTGCTCACAGCCCCCCAGTGAGCCCCAGGGTGCTAAGCCCACCAACTCCAAAGAAACAAGCATGCTCACCACCCCAACACAAGCTGACCAGTCCTCCTCCAGCCAGCCCACCTGCTCAGCAGAAGGCCTCCAGCCCCACTACCCAGGGCAGAGAAGCAAGCTCCCCCTCCTCCGTTCCTTCCACATCCCCCCCAGTCTCACCATCTCGGAGACAAAGAGAAACAGGAGATTCTGAAGACAGTCCTACCGCCATGGCCAAAGTATCTGGAAACACACATTCCATATTTTGCCCGGCCACCCCCTCACTGTTCGAAGCTAAGTCACCACTCTCACCAGCACATCCACTGACACCACCGGCTCTGCCTCCAGAGGCTGGGGTCTCACTTGGGACATCAGCAGGATGCTGGAGGAGCAGCTCAGGACCACGACTGAGAGACACACAGAGAATGGTGGCTCTGTGTGCCCTCAACCCTCAGCCTTTCGTCAGAAGGACAGCTTCGGAGCGCCGGGCGGGCATCCGACTGCGGCTGCCCGTGTCAGGCTGCACCAGCTCAGGCCATGAAGGCCAGCTCAGCCGGAGCAGGTAAGGAGTCCCGGGCGCACCCTGCAATGACGCTGAGTAGAGCTAACAGCCCAGGGCTCTTCTGGGTCAGTAATTTTGAAATTGTATTGTAAGAAAAGAGGTAACTGAGAAAAAGGGGTTCAAGGCACAAATCCAAGTCCACCCCAGTCCCACCCCACTTCAATCTTGAGCAACTGTGCTCTTATGAGTTACCCATATTGGATTTCTAAGCAGGATTTGCATTGATTTAAAACAAATAAGTTCAAAACTATCATGTTAGTCCAGTCTCTTCTCTCTTATTTTACAAATGGGGAAATAAGTGCAGCAACTTGCCCTCAAGGTTAATTATCATCACCCACCTACCCCACCTGGACCCAACAGCCTGATGTCTTTGTGGGTTTACGAGTATCTAGGATGTTGCTGTTGCTTTTGTTAGGTTCTCTGACTTGGTTCTCATTCATAAACAACAGAGCAGAGAACTGCCCGGTCCCGCACCATCCTCCAGGTCTCCACTGAGCTTCAGTTCATGGTCGTCATCACTCTATCAATCCATCTCTTAAAGGGACTTCCTCTTGTTCTCTGACCTTCTCCTTCTAAGACAGAAGTTCTCAAATGTTTTGGTACCAAGACTCCTCTAAACTTATTATCCAAGAGCTTCTGTGTATGTGGAATACAACTATCCATTTTTATATACTAGATATTCACATATTAACTTATTTTAAGGTAACAAAAATAAATGCATTAGGTGTCAACATAAATAATGGGCGTTTTCACAAAACAGTTCTATTTTATACACAACAAAAACAATGTAATGGAAAGAATGGCACCATTTCAAATTTTCATTAATCTCTTTGGTGTCTGGTTGAATAGAAGGGAGCTGGGTTCTCTTAGGTGCCTCTGCAGTTGGTCTGTTGTTATTTACCTGTCATGTTATTGTTGTTGTTATGTGCCATTGAGTCACCTGCGACTCGATGTACATTAGCTCAGAAACCTGCACTATCCTGAACCATGTGTAGACTCTGAAAAAAAATTCCACTCTATAGTCACACATGAGAATGGAAAAGGCAAATAAGATCTTCATATAAAAATCTTACAGAGAAAGCAAAATTTTATAAAAAAAAAAATCCCACACTAAAAAAACCCCAACCTTACAGAGTAAGTCTCTACCTCACTCACGGTGTCCCCATGAGACAGAGGTCAATAGTGGTGATGATAGATTGTTTCAAACCTTCTGGACCCCTTCAAAGTGTCTTGGATGCCTCCAAACCATGCCTTAAGAACAGCTGGTCCTGGAGGCACAGCAAATGAATGTTTGGCTTTCCCATATCTGCAAGCCAAAGTGGACTAGTGCTACGTGTCCTTGAAGCGAGTCTGATTTCAACCTCCTCACCAGTGGTTACAGAGGGGTAGGGACACCTGACTGGGAGGAATAACTGACAAGCGTGTCCGTCCCAGCCTCACAGACAGGCATGAGCACTGCGACATGAGTCTAAGTCTCACCATTGCCTGCCATAGAAAGAACGGGTCACCTGAGTGAAATATCTCAGTCACAAAAGGACAAATATTGCATAGTGCCACTGTTGTAAAACTGGACTGACATCAGGATTGAGGGGAGACTGAGAAAGATGGGATAAATTATGTATACTGCATTGAAACAGATGAGGGAGAGAACTGTTTAAAAGGGATACATGATTAAGTATTGTCATGACAGGAGTCCAGAACAAAGGCTGCATAGTGGAGTGGACTTGGAGAGAGGAATTGTATAACAAAGAATTTTTATTTTACTTTTCAAAGAGAAGAGTGAACTGGGGAGCGGGGGTGGGCAGGGAGAAAAGTGCAATAATGAATGAATGGAAATCCAAAGTCTCTGTAAGTTTTCATTAAAATGAATAATAATAATTAAATTTTAAAAACCCAACAACAAATAAAGAAAGCCCTGGGGAAAAGAAAGACAGGAAGGAAGGAAGGAAGGAAGGAAGGAAGGAAGGAAGGAAGGAAGGAAGGAAGGAAGGAAGGAAGGAAGGTAGGTCAGTCACATGCTCAAATGACCACTTCTCAGAACTACCTAGAAAAACATGCCTTTTCTGAAACTCTGGGCTGAGAAACAAAAACTTATTTTTGAGACTTGAGGGGGACTTTCATCGGCATACTTTGATATCAGATCAGACAAAGCTGAACCAACTCCAGCCCCTGATATTTTTGAGTTGTCTGTGTATAAATCAGCAGTTAATTTCTGCCAGAGTGATATGTGTTGCAGACTTCACAGTCTGCTGAGGCATAAATGGCAATTTTTCATCAAGTGAAGTCACTCGCTCGGCAGTCAATTTTAAATAAAGATACGATCTCTCAGGAAAGTTGTATGTTATTATAGTTATATAAACTTCCCCAGCCACTTGAAAGAAATGAAATATTGATTATTATTGCAAGAATCTTAATGTAATGTTGCTCTTTCCTTAAATCTAAAATAAGCTTCCTACAGCCGAATAGCCTTCGTCTAAGAACCTCAATAAATGTTAATGTATTACTCCTCACACAACCACTTACTCGTTTATTAGATTTCTAAAACGGTGCCCTTCAGGAGAAGAGCCTGTAAGAACAGGGACAATAAAGTGACATTAATTAAAAACACTAACATTTTAAAACAGCAGGAGCAATAGTAAAGTAACATAAAATTGTTCAAGAAGAAAATAAGGCTCTTCCTTTCAGATTTCTCCTCAGCACAGGGCAGCTCAAAAAGGGTATTTTATGTCCTGAATCTCAATATCTGGAATAGGTGTGTCAGGATAGGGCAGAGGAATCAGTGTCTTTAGAAAAATGGACAATTCACAAACAGGGTTTTCTCCAACGTCTGAGTGAAAGGTCGTATAATGACACTCACTTTCCTGCCTCCTGACAAAACTACACCTAGTCTGTAGGGAGCTGCCCTGCAAACCCCAAGTCCACAACTCTCTGGTAGTTTGAACCCTTCAGTGGCCCTGCAGGAGAGAGATGATCAGCCTCCTCCTGTTTGCTTCATAATCTTGGAAACCCAATGGAGAGTCAGCGATGAGTCAGTTCCAAATAAAGAGCAGTGAGTTTACTAAGCCAGCTCAGACTGTGAGGTCATGGTGGGGAAATGCTCACTTGACTCCCCTGGTCCAAGGCAAATTTCACATCTGGGAGCCCAACTGTTCCAGCTGTGTGTGCACTCACTGAGATTAATGGCAAGCATTTATCTGTCATCTGACTTGCCGGGAAGCAACACCAGGGAAGGAAACTTGGTTTCCCCAAGATCATGAAACAAGCCAGCGTCAGAGTCAGAAACTTCCTAGTGCAGGGCTGTTCCCCCAAGCAGAGAGACCTGCACCCCAAACCACCTCTCACACAGTTCCAAGGTAGACCTTCAGGGGAAACTGTCCCACACCTGGCCTCAGCACCCTGCAGGTCATCCCATGACAGACATGACTCCCTTCATTAGAAAAGAGGACGATGTTTATATCCTCTTGATCTTGGGGCCCTGGAGATTGGGAATAGTCCTCAGAGGCTTACCCAGGAAGCTCAATTATGAGCTTCAACTGTTATTTATTTGTTGAATCCTCAAGTTGAAGTGCCAGTCTCTAAGTCTCAGGATGCTGGGGCACTCTGTGTTCAAGAAGCTAAGAGTCCCTTTGCTCTTCTAAATGTAGTGCCTGTCAGCCTCTGCCTGGAAAGAAATGGCCAGGCTGAGGCTCTCTGCTGCCCTTGACTTAGTGTCCTGAGCAAAGTATGGCCAGACATCCAGCTGGAGAGCAGCCTACTTCCCAGGCCAACCCAGGAACAAGTGGAACCACAACTACATTGTGGCACCTGGGAAAATAGATCCCTAGTACTGGGAATGTCTGATGTCAGGGACCTTGCCAAAGTACTGAAAAGTTATGATCTCATCCTAAAGACTAAGGTGCACCTGGTTAAAACCATGGTCTTTTCAACCACCTATTATGTATCTGAGAGCTGGACAATGGATAAGAAGTACAGAAGAGAGATTGCTGCCTCTGCATTGTGGTATTGCAGTAGAGTGCTGAGTGTTCCGTGGACAGCCAAAAGAACAACTATGTCTCAGAGAAGTACAGCCAGAGTGTTCATTAAAGCAAAGGATGGGGAAGCTTTATTTCGCATAGTTTGGGCATATTGTCAGGAGGGTTATTCTTTGGGAAAAAGATATCATGGCTTGGAAAGGTGGAGGGTGAGAGAAAGAGAGAAAGACTCTCAGTGAGATGGACTAGAACAGAGGCTGCCGCAATAAGATCACGTGTATGAGAGATGATGAGGATGGCACCCGCTGTGTTTAGTGTTGTTGTGGATTGTACTTGACTTGACAGCACATAACAATGACAACAGCCTAAGCCAAGGACCCCTGGTGGTATAGTCCACATGTAGGGAGTTGCTCTGCTAGCCCAAAAGCCGCGCTTCTCTGGTGGCTTCTGTCCACCAGCAGCAGTGTGAGAAAAAGATGAGCAACCTGTCTCCATCTGATTTAAAGCCCCGGGAAACCTACTGGAGGGTCAGTGATGAATCCTTTCTGATTTGGTGGCAATGAGTTGATCGCTTGGAGCCTGAGCCAGGTGAATGTAGAACCTGCAGAGGGCTGGGAGAGAAACAGTTCTACCACCAGATGTCTGGCAGTTCTAGCCAGCATCCTGGCTCAGTGCGGCCTGCCACAGGCTGCTCCTGGATATGCCCTTCCCGGTCTGCCAGGTCTCACCCCACAGGCAGCAGAGGGTGGTGCGTGCAAGGAGGGAGCTGCAGCCCACAGACCACGCCGGGTCCTGAGCCCGGGCAGGGACTCGCGACTGGGCCGCTCGTGAGCTGACACGAATGAGATAAGCTCTCAGGAACACAACAGAGTCCTCATACCCCCTCAGGTGTTCTCAACAAACTGAGAGACTATTTCTGCATGTCAGATGGACGTCTCATCTGCTTAGGATCCAAATGCGAATGGCTTTGGTGCCTCACGTTAGCCTGATCACACGGGGCTGAGCACACAGCCCTGCCATCAAGGTCTGGCCCCCAGGTTACTGAGCTGATGCTCTGACATCCCAACTCTCTGAGCATCAGGTGCCCACCTTAGTACGGTATGGCCCGAGAATCTTTGCTCTCCTTTCCAGATGTCCCTTTCTACTAGCCCAATAAAACAGTCCCATGTTGTTGTTGTTGTTGTTCTTGTTAGGGACCATAGACCAAGACTAAAATCGCCTGTTTAGGAAGACCAGTGCTGCACTTTCCTACATCCTCTTCACAATCTCTTATGTGCTCCAGCACGTGACCTCTTTCCTCCTTTACTGAGCTAACTCTGTACCAGTTAGTGAGCTGAGAGTTTTACAGGCCTCATTCAGTACTGAAATCTACGAGTACCCAGAAAAATGGGTACAATTTCTACATCCACGTTACAAACATGAAAGCTGAGAAGTGTGATCAAAGCCTTACGGTTGGTGAGTGGAAGAGCCAGTTTGGAACTGAGGCAACCAGATTCCAACTTCTGCCCAGCGAGCCACCAGCAGCTAACAGGCAAGTGTGGCTTTGTGAGCTGGCCCACCTTTCTGGCCTGGGCTTGCCACATGCTCATGCCCAGCCTCCACTCAGCATTCTGGGAGTCTGTCCATCCCACCGAGGGTCTGTGCGACACCCCCCACCAGATGCAAAGCCTGTCCCAGGCTGTGTCACGTGGGGCTCAGCAGCTGTGAAACTCTGTTGTGGCCAAATGCCGGATCTGGGCTCTGCCAAGAAGTCTCCATTTTCTACATTCAGGAAAAGGGTGGCAAATGAGTGAAGCAGGAGGGGTTTGGTGTGTTGTGGTTTATTTTGGTTTTGATTCAAGAAGCTAAGCCAGCCTTTTGTTAAACAAGAAGTGTTTTTTTAAAAACAAAAGCCCAGCTTTCCAAAACTCCTGGAGGAGCTGATTGGTTCAAGCATCAGGGTCCTGGGCATCAGGGAAAAAAGACCACGATTCTTCCTATCACTCAAAACAGCCTTGAGCTGGGTCCCCACAGTGCCTGGCCACAGCGGACCGGCCAGTGGCAGGGCCAGCAGCCTTCAGGACACACCTGTCACAGAAAGGCAGGATCCCCTGCAGACAGGGCTCATCAGCCTGTGGATGAAGGAGAGATCAGAACAGAGATGGGGGTGGGCCAAAGAAGAGAGAAAGTTTCATTAGTATTTGTCTTTTCTTGCAGCAGCTGTGAGGAAAGCCCCAGGAAGAGTGTGGAACCTTGGGGCACCCCCTGTGGCCCAGAACAGAAGCAGAGAGGAGCATCTCCCCCAGATCTCTTTGTGCTGGGTCATGGGCTGCAGCGAGAGCCCCAGCCAGACCCACAGCCCCAGCAGGAGGAGGCGGCCTGACCAGCAAGTGGGTGGAGTCACACTGATGTGGGACACCCCTGAAGACAAAGTGTGACCACCAAGTGGCCAGGCTGCCCCACAGGTGGTGGGCAAGCCAAACTCCTACCAAAGTGTCCTCAAAAGGCACGCATGTGCACTTCCGGGCAGGTGGCCTGAGACTGGCTTAGCAGGCAAAGCAGACATTCTTAGGTCTCGGTCCCCAATGCCTGGCTGGCCTTGGGGTTCAAAAGTTAACCAAAGCTTCAGAGCCCCACAATGGCACTCTTTAATCCTTTAAGTACTGGCCTTAATTTAAGGGGAGGATGGGGGCACACCTTCTTTATCTCATACTTGTTGAGTTAGGTATTTCACCGCTGGTCTTATTGTTTGTCCCTGACCCCTAGTGCCCTTGCTCAAGACAGAATGAAAGGTTGCCCCGTCCCGTGCTGTCTTCACGTCCGTGGGTATGTCTGAGCCCACTAGTGCAGCTACCATGTCGACACATGTCACATGTGATCCTCCCTCATGTATGTTTTCCTTGCTGTTCCGCTACACCAACTGCGATGTACCTTTCTTGCAATTGGTCTTTTTTCTGTGTTGGCATCATTAAATCATTTCATTCTCACAATAATTCATAAAGTCAACATCATTCTTCCAGTGGGACGACTGGGGGAAGGAAGGAGGCTAAGTCCTTGCCCAAGGTCATGCAGGTAGGAAGAAAATAACAGCACAAATTTAAACAGTACTGTCTGGCTCTAGAATCTATGCCCTTTTCTTGATATTTCATTACTAGTGACTCTCTGTTCACTCTGCCCATTCATGCTGTTGTTATGTACCATGGAGTCAGAACCAATTCATAGCTGACCCTCCAGTCGGTTTTCAGAAGCAGTAAATCACATATGTGAGAAAAAGTGCCCATCTTTCTCTCAAAGAGCAGCTGGCAGGTTTATCAGCATGCTTTTGAGTTGGCAATGTAATTCCTTATCACTAAGCCACAGATCTGTGCCTCATATAGATAGGATGGCTGACAAAGTAACTAGGGTCATGGGCGGTAGGTGTACCCAAGACAGTGGGATCAGCTCAGGATAGAGAAGCGTTCAGAGCTATTATATACAAGATCGCTATGAGTCTCAAGCAACGGGATGTAACAACAAGGAGCCACAGAGCTCCCTAAACCATTATTCACAGATGTGTCAGTGGTTGGGAAGTTTTCTTTTGCTTTGGTTTTTAAAGTTAAATGGTGGTTCTGCACTGACTTCCCCCTTAAGAGCTTTGTTTATCCAGAGATAAGAAGACTGAGCTGGAATTAAGACGCTCTCTCAGCCCCACCCGCCCTCCTGCTCTCCAGCCGGAGCTCCGCCCACAGCTGTGCTGCCTCTGGGTCTCAACATGTCTCTAATGCTCTCACTGCCCTGCGCACCCACGTGCTTCTGATACTGAGTGGGTGCAGCCAGGCCACCGGAACAAAGCACCCCTTCTCTGCTTGCTGTGGGTGCTCCAGCTCTGGAGGGTGGCACGGCTCTCGCACGCCAATCTATCCTTCAGGACAGCTTCATCCCCACATCATCTACAGAACTTCTTCTGCTGGAGTTGAAATTAAAGTGAATAACATTCATGACAAAACCCTGCTCTTGCCAATGAGCTAGATGTTTGCTGTGGATCTTGGAATTTTTCCATCGAAGGCTGTGGAGGGCTTCTATTTAGAAAAGAATTTGCAGTAATTGGGTGATTCAGTGCCAGCTCAGGGCATTGTCAAAGGACAAGAATTCTCACCCACAGAGTGCAGTTAAGGGACCTCTTCCAGATCTGATCCAAAGCTGATTTCTTTTTTTATTTGGGGAGAAATAGTGGATCTCAAATTCTTTCTTTTGTGAAATAGATTGCAGGCTCAAGATTACAATCCTGGGGGCCATAACACTTCACGCAAAATTAGCCTATGCTCCGGGTAAATGAAGGCACCTGAGTTTGTCCAGTTCTTAGAATGGAATTGGCCAGGATTATCTCTTTGAAGTGTCCCAAAGGATTGTTGGTTAAACTACAGCAATGGGCCAACCACCCACTTCTGTATTATCAAAGGTCTGCAACACCATCCCTGCACATAACAACAACAAACACCATCCACAATTCTCAGTTATTTGGTATCTGTACCAGAGACCAAATCATCCTCAATGCTGGGCTCATGCCAGAACAAGCCACCCAACAGGGCTGCAGACGATGAGGGGAAGTACTGCTGCCCAACCTTGACCAGGGCTTAGGAGAGATCTGGGAATCGGTCATGCTAACTGAAAATTACATGACAGAGATCTGGGTGTTCTCTCTGAAAGATGAAACAGACAGCCTCGGTGCGGAAAGGCTGGGGCCTGGGACAGTTGTATCCTTGAGAGAAAGCAGGGAGTGAACAGTGTGGTTCCCAGGTGCTTTGAGGAAGACAAGTCAGAAAAGGAGCTACATCCTCTGCTGAGATTTAGGGGCAGGATCCCAGAATCGGAGGCCTGCAGGAAAAACCCAGCTGCAGGAAAACAAAATAAGGACATATGGATGAAACCGAGATATAACATGAGGGTAAAATACATTAAAAAAAAAAAAAATTCCTGGTGCCAAGGTCTGATTAGAAGCCAGAGCCACACTGCAGAGAAGGGAGGCAGGGAGGCAGGGTCATCAGCTGGACCAATTTCCGGCTAGTTTCTCTCCATATCTGTTGACTTTAAGCAACATCTCTTTGCCTTCCTCACATCAGATACCCAGTTCAGAACCTAAGACAGTCCATGCTGAGAGAAAACACAGGGCAGATAGATCAAAGAGCTTTCTCTTTCATTGTGAAGAGCATGAGCTTGACAAGACTCATCGCAGAAAGCCTGCGATATGAATGAAAGGGATTCTGAGAAATATGTTCTTTTTCTAAAATAAGCCAGCATTTTGCATGTATCCAGGGAGCCAATAAGGTGAATTATAAGTGTCAACATGTTGTCAATAGATCATCTGGTTGACTGCTTACAGGCTGCTAAGCTCCCACTCTATCTTCCCAAGGAAATCTTTTCAAAGGTAATATATTTTTAAGTAGCCCCACATCAAAGATTCTGTTACACTGCCATAAAGTAAACGCGCTCTGAGCTTATATTAACAGAGCATGTTATACGGTGCTATCGTTTACTCCCTGTGCCTACCTGAAGTTTAAATAAAGTTCCATCAATCCACGCAGATGTTTTTATGAAATGTAATTAAAGATGCATTGTGCATGCAGAGGGGCGAGCCGTTAACTCACTCAGTGCTCTAATTCAATTTTATGGAGGACCCTGGACACCGCTGATTTGATTACACTCAAGGACTTCGTGAAGTAGCTGTGCTGGTTTTCTGCAGACTCTTTATCAGGTGACAATAGAATTTTACTCTTCTAGAAGCTCTGGTACAGAGCTCTGTGAGGCCCTGGGGTTAGAATTCCCGGAGTCCAAAGCACAAACCTTTTGACCTGGAGTGATGGTAATAGCGGGGCTAAGTAAATGCCCATGGGTAAGCCTGATGGGCTGAAACTGGAGGAAAAGGAAGAGAGAAAAGTAAAAATGGAAAAGGAGGAGAAAGGAAGCAGGGATGAGTAAATACAGCAGTCCCTCGTAGAAGCCAGAGTTCTTCACCATCTCCTACCAAGCCCCGTGATCTGGCTTTTAGGGGTCTGATTCTTCATCTGTAAAACAGCAATCATGGTGCCAGCTTCCTTACGCTGTTCTCTGCAAGACGTGCGCAAGTGGAAAACCATTTTCATCTCTACCCTTGAAGAATCTGGGTATGAGAACTCAGGGCTATTGTTCTCTAGTCCCAGACATTGGGAGAAAGTTAAAACAAAGTAACAACAACAACAACAACAACAAAAAAACATGAACAAACCTATCAAATCAAAAAGCTAAAATTGACTTTCTTCTTTAAAAGGTTTCCTTGTTTTTCAAAGTAAAGAGCAAAGATTCTAAAGCATTTTGCTTGACATTACAACTACAGATGTCGAATATACCAAATGGGGAAAGATCAAATTAAGCTTCTAAATCTCTCATTTAGACCCTCCTTGATCAGGGAGCTGATAAGTACTTGCTGGGCACCTCTTGAACGGCAAGTTTTCCACCAAACACACAAAAGAACTAATAATAATGATACTTGGTCTTTATATACAGTACAAGGTGGTTTAAAAACACAGTTATCTATTGTTTCATTAAATCTTTGGGAAAATCCAGTGAGATGTACTCAGTAAAAGTTTTTAATACCTTTTACAAATTGGAAAAACTGAGGCTGAGAGACATCAAGTCTCTTGCTCCAAAGAAATTTTACCCACTAATATTCTAACACCTACTGGGACAAGTACTTAGATTAACTCAGGGAGGCAGCTTGGAAAAAAACATCACAACCTCCTTTGAAAAGTCTCCATTTTCCCCAGCATTATTTTTATCTCCAGGCAAAATCCAGCTGTTTATAATTTTAGCTCTTCCTCTCAAACTAACTTGGCTATAAACTGGAAACAAAATTCTCCAGAGGATTTTGAAAATAATCTCCTTTACCTACACTTCAATCATAGGCCAACTTTGCTAAACACACACACATATTTAAAAATAAGTCCCAGAAATCTTTGCTTTCAGTGGCCAAGTGGGCTTGCAAGTGGAAAGTACTCCTGGAAGTTGACACATCTCCCCAAGAAGCCAGCTCTAATGTTACTATCGTTGCTCAAAGCAATAGCAGTCAGTGGATGAAACAGAGAAGAAATATAGATCCTAGGAAACACTTACCTTCATGAAAATTATTTGTTTAGCTTCCCCTCCTCCATTTACACTCCCTTTGGAGGGAGACAAGATTGGCTATATTTACAAATCCACAAATCTTTAAAGCTATTGCAGTTAATGGTTCCTGACACCAGAAGCTCAGGGGCTAGGATATGTTCTGGATGTAAAAATCTTCAAGGAGAACCCAAGGTGATTCTAAGGACAGCTGTCGACCTGTCGACCCACAGAGAGGTAATTATAAAGCAGCAATTAAAACAAAACCCT